TTGTAAAATCAAGCGCTGGGAAATGTTAGAATTAAGGTTGTCTGTGCAAACCTGAATTTGACCCTCTTGTGCATATGCATTATGATAGTCTTTAATTCTGTGTCCACATACTATTTTTTTCCACAGGACCTCTGCTTCATTCAGTATACAGAATGGACAATGCTCACTTAATGAGCTGCCATTAAATATTGTGTTTTGAACATTGTTCAGTGCGTATGATATCTGACTGCTTCTCAACTGTTAATTTATCTTCACAGCATCCCTGTGAGATGAAGTATTATTCCCATTTTACGGGTGGGGAACTGAGGCACTGGGAGATTAAAGCTAAAATTGTCCACTAATTTTGGGTACCTTGAGATGAGATGCCTAGGACCAACCTGACTTTTCAGAGTACATAGCATTATAGCACTTCATGTTTTCAAAGCACAGCTCCTATTGAGGTGAGATGTAGTTGTGAGTGCTCAGCACTTCTGCAGATCAAATCCAAGGGCATCAGGCTGGACAAGCATAAAATTAGGTGTACACAGTTAGTGACCACCTGTGAAAAGTTTGGTTCATGGGACTTGACTAGCATCAAATAGGAGCTCTTTGGCAAAGACAGGGTTAGAGGCCAGTTCTCCAGGGTAGCATTCAACAGCCTTAACCTCTGTTCTCTTTCTGCAGTCTTCTGCTTCATTCAATACATACCTTCCAACTTCTGCAACAAATGAGGCAGACAGCAGTCTCCTTTACCACACAACTCTGACTGATCCTGAGAGCAGGTCCTGTGCATTGAAGGAGACACTGGTCCTGTGGAAAAAATAGTATGTGATGTGATTACAGTTGCGATGATAGTCTTTAATTCTGCCTGTGCAGCCTTTAATTCTAGCACTTCCTACCTTTGAGTAGGGCTCTACCAAATTCATGGTCCATTTTGGTCAATTTCATGGTCATAGGATTTTAAAAATCATAAATTTCATGATTTCAGCTATTGAAATCTGAAATTTCTTGGTGTTGTAATTGTAGGGATCCAGACCCAAAAAGGAGTTGGGCAGAGGGAGGAAGTCACAAAGTTAGTGTGGTGGTGGTGGTGGGGGGGGGGGTTGCAGTACTACTACCCTTACTTCTGCGCTGCTGGTGGCGGCGCTGCCTTCAGTGCCGGGCAGCTGGAGAGCGGTGGCTGCTGGCCAGGATCCCAGCTCTGAAGGCAGAGCCATCGCCAGCAGCAGCACAGAGGTAAAGATGACATGGTATGGTATTGCCATCCTTATTTCTGCTCTGCTGCCTGCAGAGCTGGGCCCTAAGTCAGCAGCCGCCACTCTCCCGCTGCCCAGCTCTGAAGGCAGCAGAACAGAAGTAAGGGTAGCATGGCATGGTATGGTATTGCCAGCCTTACTTCTGCTCTGCTGCTGGCAGGCCGCTGCCTTCAGAGCTGGGCACCTGGCCAATAGCCACCACTCTCCGGCCTCCCAGCTCTGAAGGCAACACAGAAGTAAGTGTGGCAATATAGCAACCCCCTGCAACTCCCTTTTGGGTCAGGACCCTTAATTGGAGAAACACTGGTGTCGTTTCCCCCTCCTCCCCCCCGTGAAATTTGTATAGTATACAGTAAAAGCACACAAAAGACCAGATTTCATGGTCTGAAGCGTTTTTCATGGCTATGAATTTGGTAGGGCCCTACTTATGAGTGCTTGACTTTGCAACCTTAATATTTCAATGTATTTTTGGTGTGTTATATATAATTAGTTTTTATCCTGTACATTGTCTAGTATAAATGAACTGTGCAATCCTAATTCTACACTGTTGTGCATGTGCGTTATGAAACAGTCTGTGGTTATGTAACTAAATCCTATATTTTTCCAGGGGACCCTTGCTTCATTCGGTGAACAGGAGGGATGGTGTATACTGAAGAATCAGGGTTGCTCATTGAATGAGACTATTGTCTGTAAGATCTCTGCCTCAGTTGCTACAGCTGCTAGGAGTGTAGTGAATGATTTAGGGAACTATAGGAAGGGCAAGGGTGATATACCTACACAATGTTAGCAAAAACTGAGGGTTTGTCTGCCCTTGAAATGTTATAGCAGCACAGCTACAGCTGCACCACAGCAGTGCTTCAGTTTAGACACTGCCTACTCAAACAGGCTCTCCCATCGGCGTAGGTATTCCACCTCCTCAAGAGGTGGTAGTGAGGTCAATGGAAGAATTCTTCAGTCAGCCTAGCTTTGTCTCACCAGGGGTTAGGTTGACTTAACTATGTCATTCAGGAGTATGGATTTTTCACACCCTGAGGGACATAGCCAGGGTCGACCTAACTTTTAGTGTAGACCAGATCTAAAATGCTGTGCATGTTAAAAGATCTATACGTCTGTGCCCTAGACTTTTTATTGAAGAGTACAAATTTAAACACAACTCAAGTAACCATATGGTATTTTTTCAAAGTAGTTAAAATTACCCCTTGAATTAATCACTTGTCTACCTTGTCACAGAAATTATTGCTGTCCTGAAGAGAATTTGGTGATACACGTTCACAAAAAAAGCATATTTTGCTTAAACACCTTTTCCTAAAAAGGCTTGAGATTCCTGCAGTGTTGGTGCTGCAGTTTACTTTAAATCAATATGAGGCAGTAGCTGTCATTACAATTAACTCAATGGAATTTCTTCAACCATTAGACATGTTAGTCTTTCTTGCATATCTATCAGCAACTGTGAGTGCTTATCATTATCTTATCATTACATAGTGGCACTCTAGAGTCAAAAGATTGAAACTGAAAATGACCTTGCAAATTGTATTTAATGTTTTGAGTAAAAATTTTTTGTAGGACTCAAATCCAAAGTATCCAAGAATATTGTACTGAAAAATTAGCAAACGTTGATATTTTTCAATAGAGTGTAACACATTTAAGAACATTCAGATGTCCTTGTCTTTTAATTCTAGCACTGATTAACACTTCATCGTTAATCAACACTGGTGGAGAAAAATCAGTCCCAAATACTGGCAGTTCAAGGTTTTGGCATCAGCGTAATGAAATGAATTCATTGAAGAATAGTTTAAAATTAATTTTGGTGATTTTTTTTCGAGAGTGTATAATTAATTAGTTTATATCTTATATCATATTTCTTTGTTTTCCTTTGTTAGCCTTTAAAATGAAAAGATTTTAATCAGCATCTGTCAAATGTTCTGGCTTGCTCAAAAAAGCAAATTATTTTCCAACATGCTGTCAGAAATAAATGGGTGCATCCTGATGATGCATGGAACTGTGATACAGCTTTTCTGAAACCCTGAACTCTCTGAAATGTCCTTATTGCTGAGATATAGCGCCACAAATCAAATGGAAGTTTCTTTATTTTTAAAGAGTATTTTATATGAGACACGACCAACTGCGTGGTTCAGCAATCTGTGTACTTGCCTTTCAGGCTAACCAACAGCTGACCTGGTTGATATCCTAATCAAAGCAATCTGATCTTGGAAAAGTGCATCCTCAGCAATGTGTTCCTTTTCTAGATATCCAAATAGTTAAAATACCATCATTGCATAACAATAGTGACAGCACTGACTGCTGCAGTTTAGTACTGGGTTCAGGGCAGGGCTGGTTCCAGGCACCAGCTCAGCAAGCAGGTGCTTGAGGCGGCCAAGGGGAAGGGGCGGCACGTCAGGCTCTTCGGCAGCAGTTCAGCGGCGGGTCCCTCGGTCCCTCTCGGCGGGAAGGACCTGCTGTTGAAGAAGAAAGCAGCATGGTGGAGCTGCTGCCGATTGCGGCTTTTTTTTTTCCCCGGCCGCTTGGGGTGGCAAAAACCCTGGAGCCGGCCCTGGTTCAGGGAGAAAAGCCAGCCCTTACCCAAATCCCCTGCACCTGACAACCACATTGGCAGTGTCTGCATTTCAGGATCATATGGACTGGTCCTTCTCTTACCCCCAAGGGCACAAATCACTCCAAAAGAACAGAGAAGTAGAGCCATGGTTCTGCCCCTCACAGTTTGCAGAGTTAGCTGGCTGTAGAGAGAACACATTGTATCATTCAGAACAATGGTGCGACATGTGCAGACTTCCCGAGCCTCCTGGACCTCAGGGAAGGATTGTCCACCCTCAGTACAATTCCTGCTGTAGTAACTCCAAACTTGTCATTTGGACAAATCAAGTCTAGCCCTTAGTGTATTGAAATGGAATGGTTTCCTCCCATTGAAGCTCAGGGATGCTGTATGGTTACTGACCCACACCTCAGCTTCTCACTCTCACCCATTTCCCAGTCCCTTCAGTCCTCTGCTCTTCTGAGCTGCTGAACAAAGCTAGCCTTCCCATTCTCTAAAGTGACTATTTTAAGAGGTGCTGCCAACACCACCACCATAACAAATCTTTCCCATAAAATATATGTAAATGGAGAACGGCAACTCACTGGGCACTCTCCTCCCACACAACTCTGCACAGAGCTGAGCCACACCCAGACTGCCACTGTGAATGGAACTATTCAGACCTGACCAGGTGGTGGTTTTCAGATTCTCTATAAACCTTCAGAGCCGCAGCCACATCTGAGAAGTCTCTCCAAACGGGGCAGTAGAACCCCACTTCTTCCTATTGCTTCATTATTGTCTCTACTGATGGGAAAGAATTTATTACTCCCCATCCATTTTTTTAATAAACACTTAATAGAAAAAGTGTTCATTTCATTCAAAGGGGGAGGAAGTAGGGCAGTTTAAAAAAATATAACTAAAATGGCTCATTGTGGGGAACACTCCTTCCAAAGCTTAGAAGAAGGAAAGCTCTGAAAATAGGGACAACATGTTTCTGAATAACTTCAGGGTCCTCCCTGATTATTCTGTAGCAACCATAAAATTTAACCTCCATAGTTTGTTTGTTCCAGTTGTTTACAAAATAATTTGACAATTCTCCTCGTTTGAAATGCTCTATCTTTTTGATCGGTTTTCCTAGATGTCATATTGCCATTGTGACTATGCATGGGTGAAAAACTTGTCTGAGCAAATCTATGCCAAAATCAATAGACAGACATTTTGTTTCTCCCTTACAGGTAGGGAAAATGAAATCCTGCTTCCAAGGTTATACACAGTAAGTCTCCCTCCTGAAGGCTACATCCCAGATAATCCAAGAACAGATAGTCCCACAAATGCTGAAAACTCAGAGAGTAGTGATGATGCAGCAGGTAAGGAATTGCTCTAAATGACATTTTCTATAATACATTTTCTTTAAGAAAGAGATGTTAACAATACAATTATCAAGTAAAACCTAACTGGAGCAACCTGGTATTTAACTGTTGCTGCCAGTGGGTGTCGCTGTTTTGCAACAAAAAGAAGTGGCTTTTCTAAAGATGTGTGTCCACATGGGCTGACTTTCTATTTTAGAATTAAAGAGCCAAATTCAGCACTTGGTTATATCTTTGCAATGCCATAGATGTTAATGAAGTTGCAGAGATGTATCTAAGGATAGAATTTGACTAGCTCCTTCTAGATAGTGCCCATCTATAAAAAGGGAAATAAAAACAACCCAGGTAACTACAGACCAGTTAGTTTAACTTCTGTGCCAGGGAAGATAATGGAGCAAGTAATTAAGGAAATCATCTGCAAACACTTGGAAGGTAGTAAGGTGATAGGGAACAGCCAGCATGGATTTGTGAAGAACAAATCATGTCAAACCAATCTGATAGCTTTCTTTGATAGAATAACGAGCCTTGTGGATAAGGGTGAAGCGGTGGATGTGGTATACCTAGACTTTAGTAAGGCATTTCTTACTGCCTCACATAATATTTGTATTCCTTAACAAAACAATCACAACTTACA